ATCCTCTGTAAATTTTTTTATTGTAAGAAATGAATCATTCTATGACATAAACTTTACTTTTCCTAGTGATTTTACTTACATGTCAACTCTAAGTTTACATAGGTTTCTTCTAGATTGATTAAAAATAATATAATTACAACTGCATAGCTAATGTTATAAAGGGAAATTAGATGTTAGATTGATGATATCAATTGATGAAACATTAAATTTCTCTAAATAAATCAACATGTTATAAGTTATCGTTTTTAATTACATAATTTACTGATTTTATTGAATAAAGTATTAATGTAAACTTTATTATACAGCTAATTAGTAGCCGTCAGATAATCAGTAATACGATGTTGAAAGTCTGACCATAAATAAAGCCCCTGCGAATTAGGTTTAAGTCCATGCAGAGTGAGAGGTTGATGTTGTGGAGGATTAGTTAAACTTAATGGTACCGCTAGATTAAGCTGCTCAATGGTTGATAAAATATACTCAAAATTTTACGTAATGTTGATGGCTTGATGGAATGAGACCCACCGCTGGATAACTACTTACCACCGATTGGTGTTTCTTCGATTTGCCCTGAAATTGATAATTATCAAAGCAAGTACCGCTGTTAATGCGGCAATATTGCTATCATGCCCAACCAATAATATAAACTTTTGTGATTTGGTTTGCATTACATTATCTACCAATTGAATTAATGGCTTAGCGATATGAGCCGATAGCACCGGTGATTTATATAATAGACTAATATATTGATTACGAATTTGTCCAATTTGGTGCCATTGCTCTTTGCTATTAAGCTTACCCCATGCAATCTCTGAACTTGAAAATGCCGAATAGTATTGCAGAATAAAAGCATCAACAACAGCCGTTGCTACGGTGATTGCACCTTTAATAAGCGGCTCTTGATTAGTGATAAGTTCAAGAGAATTAGGTAATTGATGTAATGGACAGCGATATTGTCGATACAATGCGGAATTAGGATAATCTAAAATATCAGATAAGAGTTGATAAGTTGGTTTTAAGGTTTGATCTAATTGTTCAATTAAGTCCGATGAATGCGTAATTTTTTTCAGATCATCAACAACTTGTTGCTTAAATTTGGTTGAATCATTCTCAATCAAAGGATCAAAAGCACGATCCATTTTTTCAATCGCATATTTATGATGAATAGGGATATCTAAACCTGCAAATCCACCTAAAATAAAATATTGAGCCGTCGCAACTGTTCGTTGCAGGCTATTAGCATAAACAAAAATATCATCAGCAGTTAGCTTAAGTCCATGCTTGACTAGCCACTGATTAAAATAGTCACCAAAATAACTTTCTAATGTTCCACCACGGGTCGTTAGATACCCCGGTGAACAGTGCCATTGTGGCCAAACTTTTGGTGTAACTTGATTTAAAAAATCAATGGTATTAGGCAAAGGCGTTCGAATTCCATGACGGCTAAAAACAATCACTTGCTCTAACTGATATGAATTCATACGCCCTCTCCCCACTAAAAATTTCTTTAAATAAATCAATAAGTTACATAAAATCAACCAATTCGTTTAAATTGCAAATCCCAAACGCCATGTCCTAGATTTAAACCACGCTTTTCAAACTTAGTTAATGGTCTTGAATCAGGTCTTGGAATATAAAGACCATCTGTCGCTAAATTTTCCATTCCTGATGCTGACATCATCACTTCTAACATTTGCTCGGCATACTCTTGCCAATCGGTTGCTAAATGAATTATACCACCAGTTTTTAGTTTGCTTCTTAGCAATTGGACAAAATCAGGTTGGATTATGCGACGTTTATTATGCTTAGCTTTATGCCACGGATCAGGAAAGAAAATTTGCACTTTACTCAGTGAGTTATCCATAATCATATGGTGTAATACTTCTACCGCATCATGACACATTACACGTAAATTAGTGAGCTGATTCTGTTCAGCAGCCATTAAGCATGCACCAACACCCGGTTGATGGACTTCAATGCCAATAAAGTTTTCATCTCTGGCTTTACCTGCCATTTCAACTAATGATGCGCCCATACCAAAACCAATTTCTAGGGTAACAGGATTGTTATCATTGAAGAGTTGATCAAAATGGAGTGGCGTAGTTGAATTGTAATCAATACCTAATGTTGGCCAAAATTTATCGAGGGCTTGTTGCTGCCCCTTGGTCAAGCGACCTTGGCGTAGAACAAAACTACGAATTTGTCTTAAAGGACGACCATCTTCGGTAAATTCAGTGGTCATTATTTTATTTGTGTCTTGCATATTATCTTCTCATCATAAACTATATTGGTGCTGATAATATTGGTTATATACCTGTGATCCTTAAAAGTGCTTATTTATCATCATAAATATGATCTGGTACGCGCCATTGGTGGAGTCTAGTATGTGGATTAAACCCCACAACCCAACTAAATATAAAAGTTTCTACATTTTTAATGGTAATAGGTTATATACCAAGTAACTTATTGTAATTATTCCTTTCACTTTCTTACCATATACTGCCGACATTAGTCGGCAGTAAAGAAAGGCTTGGTATTATAGGGCTTGCCCTAATATCGTTTTGCATTTTTTCAGTAAAAGAACAATATACAGTTACATTAAAATGGTGCTGATTTTCTTTTTCTTGGTGCTGAAGATGATTTAGCGCCATCTTTTGCTTCACTAGAACGACGAGGAGCACGTCTTGGAGCTTGATCGCCAGCACGATCATCACTAGGCTTACGGCTACGTCTTGCTGCAGGTTTGCTGTTGCTGTTATCGACTAAACGCATATTCATTGGAATATTTAATACGCGCACTTTTTCAAAGTGATTTAGTAAATCGGTCGGCATGCCTTTTGGTAATTCAACTGTTGAATATTTTTCGTACAGTTTAATATTACCAATATAACGGCTGCTAATATCACCTTCATTAGCAATCGCACCAACGATATGACGTACATCAACACCATCTTCTTTACCAATTTCGATACGATACATATCCATATCACCAACATCACGACGTTCACGGCGTTTTGGCGCCTCACGGTTATCACCTTTTAAACGACGATCGCCACGTTCATTACGTTCACGATCATTACGCATAGGTTTTAACACTGGATCTGGTGGTAAAATTAACGGGCGTTCACCTTGAGCTAATTTTAATAAAGCGGCAGCTAAGGTTTCGATATCAGTATCACCAGCTAGTAATACTTTAGCTAGCAATTCACGATACTCATCAAGATTATCGGCATTAACTTCCTGCATTACTTTTTCAGAGAATTTAGTTAAACGACGCGCTTCTAAAATCTCTTTTACTGGCAATTGCACTTCTGGAATTGGTTTTTTAATAGTTTGTTCGATATTTTTCAGCAAACGACGTTCACGGCTATCAACAAACAATACTGCGCGACCGGCACGGCCTGCACGACCAGTACGACCAATACGATGCACATAAGATTCAGAATCTAATGTAATATCGTAGTTAACAACTAAGCTAATTCGTTCAACGTCTAGACCACGAGCAGCAACATCAGTCGCAATCAAAATATCTAAACGACCTTTACGTAAACGATCAAGCGTTTGCTCACGTAACTGTTGTGTCATATCGCCATTTAATGCAGCACAATTATAGCCATGTTGTTCTAATACATCGGCAACTTCTAATGTTGCTGTTTTAGTTCGCACAAAAATAATCGCGGCATCAAAATCTTCAACTTCTAAGAAACGAATAAGCGCTTCATTTTTACGCACACCACGCACTAACCAATAACTTTGATCGATATCTGGCGCAGTTTGACCTGTTGATTTGATTTGCACTTCTTTAGGGTTTTGCATAAAACGTTTCGTAATGCGACGAATTGGTGCAGGCATAGTCGCTGAAAATAGTGCCGTTTGGTGATCATCAGGGATCGCAGCCATAATGCTTTCAACGTCATCAATAAAGCCCATACGTAACATTTCGTCCGCTTCATCTAACACTAAACCTTTTAGGTTAGACAGATCTAATGTTTTACGATTTAAGTGATCGAGTAAACGACCAGGCGTACCAACTACAATTTGTGGTCCTTGTTTTAATGCACGTAACTGCACGTCGTAACGTTGACCACCATAAAGCGCTAATACTTTAACCCCTTTCATATATTTGGCATATTCAGCACAGGCTTCTGCAACTTGAATGGCTAATTCTCGGGTTGGTGCTAATACTAATACTTGTGGTGCTTTTAACTCAACATTCAATTTCATTAAAAATGGAATAGAAAATGCGGCTGTTTTTCCGCTTCCGGTTTGTGCCATTCCAAGCACGTCATTACCGTCCATTAAAAGAGGAATACACTCTGTTTGAATCGGGGATGGTTTTGAAAAGCCTAAATCATTTAAGGCATTAGAATGTGTTTCTGATAATCCAAGATCGGTAAAGGATAATTCTGCTTGTTCATGAAACTTCGCTATAACTATTATTTAAATTAAAACTATACTGTTTGAATAAAGTTAAAATGATCAAACATATAGCTCTTTATGAACTATAATGCCAGTTTTACTATTAAATCTTACAACTTACCCAAAATAACGACAATTAATTTATTAAAATAAATCAACTAGTTAAATAAAATAACTTTGCTATAATTCACATTACGTCTAAACTGGCACACCCAAACAGCTTATTTTTTCTTAAGCTGCTGTATTTCGAATAGTGCCTGTTGATGTTCTAAAAAATTATAAACATTATTTGCTAACGCAAACTTAAACAACATTTTGGCACGTTGGTTATTACCTTTACTTTGATAATACTTACCTAAGTAAAAGTTAGTTTCGCAAAGGCGTTGAGCTAACTCACTATTGGTTTTCACGCCTTTTTGTAAATTAATCATTAACTGTTTTTCGCTGATCTTGCCTAAATAAAACTCGACAATATCATTACCCCAAACAGAATGATCTTCCATCAAATCATAACGTTTTTGCAACTCTGCTTTTGCTCTTGCTTTGTCTTGCTTCTCTTCAACTAAATAGACCCACAGTAATCGAATAGGTTCATTTTTGTCGTAAGAATAAAACTTCAATGCATCAGCTAGCGCCGCATCATATCGTTCATTACGATACAATGAAATAGCTCGGTTAATATAACCGAACTGAAAGTCAGGATCTAATTCTAGTGCTGTATTAAGTGACAAGAAAGCTGAATCATAATCACCTTCTTGCATCGCATAAATACCCAAATAATTATAAATATCCGGAATGGTATTATTATAATTCAGAATTTGTGTCAAATCACTTTTAGCAAAAGCTTTAAAACCTAATGAATCGTAGAGTGTTCCTCGTTGAAAATAAAGCTGTACCTTAGTATCATTATCAATATCTTGGCTATATAACTGTTGACTCAATTGAGCTAACTTAACTTCATCTTCATAAGAAACTTGTTCTGGCACAGCAAAAACAGTCGGTTGCCCTCCTGTTAAACTACACCCCGATATACAACTTGATAAAAGAATGGTAAACGCTAAAAACCATGTAGACTTCAAGTTGCTATATTTCATGAACAATTCCACTCTTATTGTTTCGATAACATACTAATTATTAGTTAGTATGTTATCAATTTATTATTGTAATGCAATATTTAGAAATAATTACGCTTCGCTTGGAGATTCAATTGCATCTTTCATGCTTAAACGTACACGACCTTGACGATCGATTTCTAATACTTTAACTTGAACTTCTTGACCTACTGCTAAGCAATCAGTTACTTTTTCAACACGGTGTTCAGCGATTTGTGAAATATGAACTAAACCTTCTTTACCACCAACAACTGAAACGAATGCACCAAAGTCAACAATACGCATTACTTTACCAGTATAGATTTTACCTACTTCAACTTCAGCAGTTAAATCATTGATACGGCTGATAGCTGCTTTAGCTTTATCACCATCTGTTGCAGCAATTTTAACTGTACCATCATCTTCAATTTCGATAGTTGTACCTGTTTCTTCAGTTAATGCACGAATAGTTGCACCACCTTTACCAATCACATCACGGATTTTTTCCGGATTAATCTTCATGGTATAAATACGCGGAGCAAATTCAGAAATTTCCTCACGGTGGGTATTAATCGCTTGTTCCATCACACCTAAAATATGTAAACGCGCACCTTTAGCTTGGTTAAGCGCTACTTGCATAATTTCTTTGGTGATCCCTTCGATTTTAATATCCATTTGTAGTGCGCTAATACCATCACGAGTACCCGCTACTTTAAAGTCCATATCACCAAGATGATCTTCATCACCTAAAATATCTGATAGAACAACAAAGTTATCACCTTCTTTCACTAATCCCATTGCGATCCCAGCTACAGATGATTTAATTGGCACACCCGCATCCATTAATGCTAATGACGCGCCACATACTGATGCCATCGAAGATGAACCATTTGATTCTGTGATTTCAGACACCACACGAACTGTATAAGGGAATTCGCTTGCTTTTGGCATAACAGCCGCAACACCACGTTTAGCTAAACGACCATGACCAATTTCACGACGTTTTGGCGAACCAACCATCCCAGTTTCACCAACTGAATATGGAGGGAAGTTATAATGGAATAAGAAACGATCGGTTTTTTCACCTGTGATTTCATCAATGATTTGCGCATCACGTTCAGTACCTAAGGTAGCTGCTACTAATGCTTGAGTTTCACCACGGGTAAATAATGCACTACCATGGGTTCTTGGTAATACGCCAGTACGAATATCTAACGCACGGATCATATCTTTTTCACGACCATCGATACGTGGTTCACCAGCGATTACGCGTTGACGTACTGTTTGGCTTTCGATATCTGTGATGATATTTAATACTTCAGTTTCGTCTAATTCTTCGTTTTGTGCTTTTAAAGCTGCTAACACGTCATCTTTAATTACATCAATTTGCGCATAACGCTCTTGTTTTTGGGTAATGCGATAAGCTTCGCCAATGCGATCTTTAGCTAATTCCGCTACCGCATTGTATAAAGTTTCATTTTTAGCTGGCGCAGTCCAATCCCATTTTTCAACACCGGCTTTAGCCACAAATTCATTGATATTATCAACCACAACTTGTTGTGCATCATGACCAAATACAACCGCTGCTAACATCTCTTGTTCAGTTAATAAATCAGCTTCTGATTCAACCATTAATACCGCACTGTTAGTACCTGCAACAACAAGATCTAAACGGCTGTTAGGTAATTCGCTTGTCATTGGGTTTAAAACAAATTCACCATCAATAAAACCAACGCGAGCAGCACCAATTGGACCATTAAATGGAACACCAGATAAAGATAATGCGGCAGAAGCACCAATCATAGCAACAAGATCAGGGCTCACTTGTGGATTAACTGATACAACAGTTGCGATAATTTGGATTTCGTTAACAAATCCTTCAGGGAATAGTGGACGAAGTGGACGGTCAATTAAACGTGCAATTAATGTTTCGCCTTCGCTTGGACGACCTTCACGTTTAAAAAATCCGCCAGGAATACGACCAGCAGCATAAGTACGTTCTTGATAGTTAACAGTTAAAGGGAAAAAATCTTGACCTTCTTTAACTTTCTTTTGTGCTACAACTGTTACAAAAACAGCAGTATCATCCATATTAACCATTACAGCAGCTGTTGCTTGACGTGCCATCACGCCTGTTTCTAAAGTAACAGTATGGCGACCGTATTGGAATTTTTGAGTTATTGGATTAAACAATGTTATGTCCTCATTTAAAATTGATAAGAGATACGATA